GTATTGTCTTCTTACTTTGAGTCTGATTATTATTTATGTAATTTATAGGTCAACTAAGAATTCGTTGTTAATTCATTTTTTGTGGATCCATTATTGTGATGAAAATAGGAGCGAAGATTTTTTGAATTATTATAAAGAATTAGTTCAGCTTATAAGTTTATAAAAAAGGAATATTAAATTAATTTCAATAAAAAGTATTTTAATTCTGCATTATTAAAGAAGATTAAAGTATTTTTGGAAAAAAAATTACTTGATAAATCCGAAGTTGAGATTAAAAATTGAAAAAAAAATTAAATTTTCTTATAGAGAATTTTTTTTGATTTTAAAGTTCTATTCGAAATGATTTTCTAAAATTGCAAATCGTCTTTTAAATTATTTTAGATAAATTTATAAATGCCTAATGACCTACATAATATTATCTATCAGCCTTTGATGTTCAGTTTAAACTCAAACAACTCACCCAGAATATTCGTTCATCACACACAAAAAACAGAATTTACTCAATCAAAAAAATGTGATATTGCATTAAAAAGTTAAGATAATTTTTTAATGCATTCACTTTGATGAATCGATTCTCAGACTATTCCATCGAAATTAATGTACGATTTGATAGGGAATGAATAACATAGAGGAGATAATGAATCGATATATAATGGGAAACCACAGCATGTATGAAGTATTTGGAACTTTGACTATAAAAGAAGAAGTATCATATTACATTATGTTCATAGTGGAGTAGAGTGAAAGTTGAGGCATGATAAAACGAGTTTAATAACGAGGTGATTGAGTTGGCGACGCCTCGCTTGAGCATGACTGCGACGTACATGCTGCAAAGTAAAACAAGATATACTACGATACATATTCCAGTTGTGTGTCTCAGTGATTACAATACGTATTTACACAACTGGTCAAATGTACAACAGTGATAATAATTTACTTGAAAACAGTTTCAATTAATTTGCAATTATTATTACAATCAATTTCTCGTTAGTAACACACAAATATGTGATACTTCACTCCGTTCTATTCCTTTGATACTTAGATCACAGAGCTTAGCACGTATCAAATGCGGACAAAACAATCAAGAGTATTCATTTCTAACACAATTATTCTCAGAACATTAACGATATGATCAGTACTATTATTTGCATAAATAGTTATACTTTTCAATTTCTAATTAATATCATTCGATTTTTTTTCACATTCTCATAATAATTTATTTACTTTAAAAAATTATCATACTACTGATATTTTTTTATAATTAATTATCAAACGAGGAAAGTAAAATATTTGCAATTTTTTATTGATTTAATAACTTTTAACAATATGTCATCAATTGCAAAATGGATCACCTCGTTTTATTGATTTATTTAATTTTTATTCAATAGTAATAAAAATGTGAAAATGTATCAATAACTCATTATATTAAAATGAATTGATTGTTTGTATAATTAATAATATTAATATTAAATAATTCACATAAATTAACAATATGTCGAATTCGTCGTTAAATTATTTTATTTCATTCAAAAGAAAGTTTTCCGACGGAAAAAAAGAATTTTTCACTCATCAAAATAAATTAAAAAACTTTTAAAAATTTGCGGGCTTTAGTATTAGTTTTCGAACCAATAGGAAAATAAAGTTTTGAGCCAATCAACACTCAATAGAAAGTGCTGCCGTCTGGTAGCCGCCAAGTGTGATATTCTCCCTCCTCAGTAAACTGCGCATCATCGCGCGCAATAGAAGCAGGAGAGAACAACAGCATGTTTCGAGGTGTAGAGCAAGACGGATGAACACTAGTGTTGCAAAGTGGGAAGTAGAGTTGAGAAGAGCGTCAGTGTAGATCGCAGCTCGTTGTCGCAGTTTTTCTCGTGTTCTGCGAGTATAGTGTAGTGTGTCGTGGACAATCTTTGGCTTTTTTCTTCCCTTTCTCCACGAAATCCCGCTCAGCACGACACAAAATCTCGGTGATAAAAGTAAAACGTGGAGTGTAGGAGAATCTTGAGGACAAGGAGTAAAAAATAGTGTGTTAGGAGTGTCAATGAGGCGTGCCGTGATACGAGTGATCATCGAACAGTGTATATAGGTAATAGTGATAATAAAATAATTATTGCAGAATATTAAGTGTGCTATTTATTAGCAGAGCCATTATCATTGGCAAACTTCGTGCAACCGCCATTGCGGCGTTTACACGCAGCCGGCGTTCTTCCATGTTCAAAATTCTATCCCTTTGTCAATGACTTGAAACTATAGAAAACTTTATCTAATTCGTAGTTTTCATATCACGACACATATGATCAAGAAACTATACTGTCGTTGCGTGAGTGATCTAACAGCATGACTTGTACTCTCATACGTACAATTTTTACATCGTGTTGAGTTTCCTGGTCGATTGTTGGCTGCTCTTGGCCCTTCAACCGCCATCTCTCCCACTTTAACCACCGAGCATTTATACTGCATCGGCGTAAACGCCCATCGAATAAATTTATCATTAATTTTATCATGTGTTGACTGTATTTCAATAATATATCGTTTGTGATCAAAACCAACACACACTTGTAGAGAAATTCACTTCATTGTGGTATCTCATTTTCATTAATTGTTCACTGCCATGCTACAAATCGTAGTACACGAGTATTATGGTTTTTTCTACTTGTTATCAATGTTATCCTTACAAACTATAACTTTATCAGCATGGAAAGAGTATAATACACGTTTTTTATCGTCGAATATTATTTGCTCTTGAACAATCTGGTCAGTGAAAAATTATTTTATTGTCAGACCCATTATTTGCTATTTACTTTAACTAAGTAAAAATTTATTTGGGAAATTGATTAAAATAGTTGTCAATTTGTCTAGTGAAATTTCTATATTAAAAACTAGAAAAAATTAATTAAAAGCAAAAAATAACATTGTGAGTTACTCATTTTCTTTGATTATTTACATAACAGGTGAATGTTGTTTATTTGTTTTTTTTTTTTATTACTACTATCCAAGCTTATTATGTTTTTTGATAGTTTAAAGTCAATAAACCTCCAAAAATTAAATGGATAGAATTTAACAATTAAGTAGAATATAATTTTGTCCTATTACGTTGTTCACGTTCGTGTTATTGAAAGCAGGCATAGATAATCCCCACCCATGTGATTTTGCCAGGTCGTTAATTCAACACTGGAAATTACATGATTCGGTCGTTGATCCTTGCAAACTTTTTATTTTTCTAACGAGATTCTTCCTTACTGTTTTTTTTTATTCTTTTTTCTATAGTTTTCTTCTGAAGTTTCAGATTAAATTCAAGAGTAACTACCGAAACAACTCGTGTGTTTTTCTTTCTTTTTCTGCTTGCAAACACGCAGACTGCACATTTTTTTTTCATCTAGTACCGCAACGAGTTAGTTACCAAGTAGAATGTTCTCTCGATTTCTTCAAGCTCGACGGATACTAGTATTTACCGTTATTCATTTGTAGATTTTATATTTTTTAATTTTCTAAACTAATCATTAAAATTTGCCTTTAAAATTTAACCGGCTATTATTTTTTATTTTTCTTCTTTCTCTACATTTTATAAGCTTAATCTGCGTAAAATTATATGTAAGTGCTCATAAATTTAAATATTTTCTTTGAAAAATATAATTATTTGAACTTTTCCTTAATAAAATAATTCACCTGCAAATACAGGGAAGTATGCTTTCTAATAATATTTATTCAAAGAGACATAAGACATAAATTACAAGGTAGAACTTATTTATGCTTTTTGATAGCTCTTCTACAAAGTACATAAATTTCTGATCTTACAAACTTACAATATGAGGAAGGAATATAAATAACAACAATATTTATTTTATTAAAAATAATTGCTAATTATTTATCATTCCTTCTATCATAAATTTTTATTGCTTGCGAATGGAATTTTAAAATCAATGAAATTTATTACTTTACATTTGATAGAAGTCTCTTTATTTGAATAAAATAAATTCAACATCAATTATGCGCACTTAATCAAATCCTTTGATTTCAATTCCATCACCATGAATTTTATTAGTGTAATCGAAGTCTGGTTGAGATTGTATTCGCATGCATGGCTACAAAACGACAGTAATAAAAGAAAAAGAGAGAGAATGATGCAAAAAAAATAATAAAAAGAGTTCGTGGATTGTAACGGAATGACCGGGTCGAACTTGTCTGTTTCCTCTTTATTTCTTCGGATTTTTCTCCTCAATTTTATTCTTGGGACATTGCAGAAATAGGTGTCTAAAGTCTACATTGTTCGCTAAATATTATTCATTAGTTTTCAAAGCACCGTTGAAATTACAAGGTTAACTAAAATTGTAGTAATTGTTTATAAACTGAGACAATTAAATGGATATTCAATTATTTGATTTAATAGTATAACTGTATCAGTAAGTAAAAGATAGTATTATTTTGTGGACTGAAAATTGTTGGTCAGGTTCGCCCACATTCAATAATAATCAATGTTGAACTTAGATCATTCTTACCTTTATGTTTGAATTATTTCTTTCCTTATCGCTGTTCTCTTTCTCTTGAGACCTGTCTTGCAGTGAACTTGTTTTATTTTCTGATTTAATAGTCGCGTTCTACGAGTAAAAACTCAATAAATAAACTGGAGAATTTGAAAGTGTAAATCGTAAACTCAAAGTTCATTTGTACACTAAGGAAAATTTAATTATAAACTCGAATTAAACTATCAAAAGTATCTCATAACATTTATTGCAACTTGAAAGAAACAGATTTTTCAATACAGAGAGAAGTTTTTCGTTTCTATCTGCCGGATTATTTCAACAAAGTTGCAAGATCGCTCTAATGAAAAGAAATTTAAATGAATTTTTTTTAAATTCATGAGATTTATTTGCATCAATATCACAAAGCAAGAATAATTAATGATAATTAAAAAATAGCTTATTAGATTTACTAAAAGCAAATTTAAAACTTAAATGACATTAACGATCACTTGTTATTAATAAATCATTTTTATATTGCAGTGCGAAGACTGAACCTACCTGGGACCGATTAAGAAGCACATCCCCCGAGACCCCCCCAACCAAAATCACACGCCTTACCTCACCCCTATCCTTGTCCTCCTCCAGTCCCTTTTCCCCTGGTGCTAAACCGCGCAATCAAAGTCGTGAAGTTTCTACTAAACCGGGAATACCAAGTATGGACAATATGGACAACAAACCTGTGTTGAACGACGACCCATCGGTCACACTAACTATTCGCTTGATTATGCAAGGCAAAGTAAGTATCTAATTTAATTGATAGAATTATTTTATACATTCAGTTTACTTTACTTAATTAAATGAAAATCAGGTTACGGATTTTTTATCGAAGATCGTGAGAAGTCTTATGGATGGTCTTTGTCTCACAAATGGACCTTTAGTCTTTGATATATCCATCTACTAAATGAAGTCTCTCAATTTAATTGCCATGATCAAAGACATGTAACAATACAGACACTTGAAAAAGCCTTAGTTAGTTTCATTAAGGGTTACAATGGGGATGAAAAGAATATTTTTTGTTACTCAGAGATTGTTCTAAAAAAAAATGAAAAAATATTTTAGACCAAATACTTAAAATCTTTTTTGACTGACATTTAAATCCATTTCTTTATATTTATAGAAAAAGATATAAAAGTATTAAAATTTCATATTTACATTTTAATAATTCAGAACTAATAAAAATTCAGCGTAAATAAAACCAGGATTTCCTATATATTTTAATATTTACATTGTTTTTTTTTCAACTGAACTGATAATGGAGTTTCTTTAGAGAAGCAAGCTTTTATAAAAATATCTATATAGCTTAGTTAATATGAAAAAAATTAATATATATCTATTTTACGAAAACTATTGAAATTCCAATATGATAGTTTATTTGGGAAATTGCATCAAAACTTACAATTTACTCTGAGCTTTGATAAAATATTTATACATCACAAGTACTACCAAAAACTGGACATAACAGACATTTTTCTTTCAATTTAATTTCATCCCATTTTTAAATTAATATTCTCACCAATGAATCTATTTTTTTCTTTTTCAATTTTAATTACTTAAGCCCCATAAAAATCTATTTTTTATTCACTCTAAATACATTATTTTCTATCTACATGATCTTCAGTAGAGCAAAGAAGATAAGCTAAAAATGTATTTTTTTAACGCCAAAGATATCTATCAGCCTCCAAATGCAGTGAACTAATTTTAGTAATATAAAAGAATCAATTTTTTCTTATCCAGTATCGATTTTTTTCAGTATTTTGCTATGCACTTAATGTACTTCATCCCTCACTTGACTGTGACTCTCACCTTGTCTTTACATTACGATGATAGAACACGCTCTCACATACTCCAAGAGAGACACGTCGCACCATCGAGCCTGTGAGGCGTGCTAAAGTGCGACACGAAAATTATTGCACGTTTCTGCATATCTGAACGATCCTTCGCGCGTCATAAATCTACCACTTGTCTTCCTCATACACAAGTGTATCCATATACATCACATTCTTTTGTAGAAGAGACGAGACAGCCGTTCTCTCCAGCTAAGGGTTTCCTTTTTCCTTTCCTCTTTGCCCCTTTCTCACGATGATGCGAGAAGCAAGCGAAACTCGAAGAGCTTCCACGTCAAATCCCATTACACCCTCGTTTTTTCGCACCAACGACCACGGTGGGGAATCAAAGGTTTCCTCTCCCCTCACTTCTTTCATTACTCTCAACATTTTTACGTTTTTATTCTTATTTGAAACTTTATGTCTCCCAGGCATTATAGTATTTTTTCTTCTGTTTTTCAACACTTATCCCATCATCCTTACGTAATTGAGCTCAGAAGAATACGTTAGTTAAAATATACATACTGTTCTCTGCTTTTTTATTTAATTTTTTATTTTCTAGCTTATTCCCAGATGGTTAATAGCATTATTTACTTCTTAACAAAAAGCTAAATGCATCCTTAACCGTCTCGAGAGCAGTATTTTAATTCTTTTTAAATGTTTTCGAGTTTTGAATATGATAGAAAGGGTTGCCAGGTTTTTTTTAAAGTTGCAATTTAATCCTTCAATTCATTACCTCCTTTCACGTTAATTGACACCTTTTCAGTACACTCGGAAACAAAGGAATCATTTTTATAAATATCTTTTGACGCTTACAAGCTACGACAAGAAATAGAGAAACATGTTATCACTGACCTAGATCATTTTGTGCTTTTTTCTTTTGTTTCTAAACAAACTGATTGTTGAAAAACTGTTTGCAACAGTCCATATTTGACCCTTTACCTATTTTTCTCTGTCACCATCTCTGGTATTATTTTTCGAATTCATTTACGTCAAATACACTAACATCATTTCTAGTCCTTTAAATAATTGAATTAATTAAAAAGTTTAAATTAAATATTAGAAACTTTCAATAATTGATCATTTACATCACACTAATATAATTTTGATGTTTTGAAAACATATTAATTTATCATTGACCTAGACGATAACTAAATAAATTCAATTATTCAAAATTCAATACCACTATGATGGTAACGTGATATTATTATGACATTAATAATACTTAATGTGATAACAATTATAAGAAAAAATGAAATTAAAAATAGGATTAGATAGAGTGATAAAAGTATTACTAACAAGCTCATTTGTGATCTTTTTACGTGAAATGACTACAAAGGAAGTTGAAAGAACTAGTTTATTACTGACCTGGATCATTTAATACTTTGTCCTTTGTTCTAAAACAACCCAGATGAGCAAAAATTTAGCCTACAACTCATATTGGAGTTCCTAAACTTTAGCTTCTTCTTTTCTGCTCGTATATTTTTTTCTTTCTGCATTTTCCTACATATTTTGTGAATAATCGATGGCCCGATTAATAGTCTGCTTCGTGGCATTTTTCCGGCTGATGCACAAGCCCCAATTTTTTGCCATCAGCTCTTGGTTTCTCTGTGCTTGGCAGTAGACTGGAGTATTGCCAAGTCTTACAGCCAGATCTTCACTAGACTGACTTGGAGAACCTACAATTCTATTGTATTACATCAAGTATCATCGTCTGAACATCTTTTGGCAACATTGGAAATGAAGAGCTTCCAATTTAAAAATATAAAACCATGTATTTCATTAACAAATCAGTATGGCTGAATGATGATCGAATTTAGAGTGATTTCAGGTTTCTAACTAATTTGAAACTTAATAAAACCACAAATGGAGTAATTTTATTTTTTTGCTGAGCAACTTGCAGATGCTTCATCCAAGTTGGAATGACGTAGAAGCATGAAGAGTAATGAGAAAAAAGTTGGAATGTCCCCTGCACTCATATAACTAGCGACTACTCGTTCTTCCATCTCGGGACAACTGGTGTGACGTTATGAGTTTGAGAAAATGAGAGATATCCAGCTATCATTAAATCTTCTTAGCGACCTGAGTATGATCTCGTTGAGGTGTTTACTGGTTGCCAACTGGCAGACGATTTTATCGGGCATGAAGTGCATTAATTTTCGGTGATACTTGAAGAAACTAAATTAGAGGAATCGTCTACTTGTAGATCAATCTGTCTGTCTCTTCAGTATGTTGTAAATTTACTGGAATTTGAAGATTTCTATGCAAAGGAGCAGGTTGATATTCACTTGAGAGCTACAATTCAACCTGACAATTGCTTACAATCTTGAACGATTCCAAGTCTATCGATTACCTTGAAGAGACATCAATATGCAAAGTATCTTCTGCACTTTCATGAATTCCATCGATATCGTTTTATTTCCTCTATTCTCGTAGTTACTTCTGTTCAGTCTTTGTTCTGATTCAGTATATCTTTAAGAATCAAAAAAGGAAAAATGTCTATGAGAAGTCTAGTAGATTCCAGTTGACTGGATTGTTGCCAAGAGCACAAGCCAAGCAAGAAATTTCATCCTTACATTTCCAAGGAGATATATCCGTTAATTACTTGGGATATCAGACACGTTGGAAAAAAAACCAATGAGTCAATAAAATGAATACTTGAAATAAACAATTAATTTCCTTGTTTCTACATTAGTAATCACATTTTATTTTTGTATTTCCATTCTTTACTTTTTTATCCTCCTCTCGTCACATGTGAATTTCTCAGAAGCAGAGATGCAGTTACTCCAATAATTGGCACCTTTCCAAGCCTTCCCACTCCAAATCTTCTTCATGTTCCAGCTATATTCGTTCTCTAAATCGTCATGGCTTTTCCTTCGTTCAGACAATCCTGAGAATAGGATAGTAACGTGAGTCAAGTTTAGTCCTTGGAATGGACTCTTGACTCTCATAAAATTTTAAATTCTTCCTAAAGTACACTGTCTCCATTTTACATTGCAAATGTCGATATTCTAGATATTTTTAGTAACCAATATCTTTAGCAGAAAATTACCTTTCGTTTTTTTGTAAGATGTAGTACTTTTCTAAACTACTAAATTACAATTACAGTAAATCGAAATACTTTAGAAAATCATTCTATTTAAAGTAAATTTAACATTCATTCATTTAAATCTGGTAAAAAAACTTTGTAATCTTTTTAATCTTATTGATTTACATCTTAAAAAGTAACGCTTGAGAAAAACTTGGAGTAGAGTAGAAAGTCTCTCATAATTATCTTACATTTTAATATAAAATAATTTAACTCTGTCTTTAATCAATTAATAACCGCATTCAATGATGTAAATATTTTGTAAACAATTTTCTTAAAACAAATTTGAATTAAACTCTTATTATTCCACTCCAAGGAGCTTTGACTTATATCCAGATGATTTACGATCTCACTGTTGTTAAATTCACTGCAAAATGCTCGAGCACTTTACGAGGTGAATGAACGTTTTCATAAATCCATTTAACATCAAACGGTCGAGTAATTGCATCAGGAATGGAATATTTTGGTGATAATATTCATAGACCATTGTATTCAATAAAAAGCTTTTTTTCATTTGAACGTTCTATATTATTTCCTGAAAATTTTTCTATCATCATAGCATTACGGTAAGAAGAGAAAAGTCGATTTGGTATGAAAAGAAGTCTATTTTCATTATTGTGAATCTAATTGGAGATCAAGTCTGCTAAGCATTGCTATTAGTAATTGAAGAGGCAATTTGCATTGATAGTCAAGTGGATTTACCTTGATATTCCTATCAGAAATTGTGGAATTAGCATCAAACTATCAATTGAATGGATAATTCTCACTGTCGTCTCGACAAGATTTTAAATTTCAGTGAAATAACCATTATAAAATGAGACTTAGTCGCTTGTAAGACCTTGATCTGATTTTCAAGATGCTGAGTGAACGCCATATGCATGTTCTTTTACTCCATGCGACACTTTAATGTTAGAAAATGAGAAGACGTTGGTATTTGCGCGGTGCCCACGTGGTCTAGGTGCTTTCTAAGTTTAGAGGTAGAGCACATACTTGATGCTTCTTAACTCTCTTTTCTCATTCTCTATTTGCATCTTCTTTTATAGTTTGTTTTACTTAAAAACTTAAGCTGACATGAATTGCTGGGGTCAAAGCTTAACTACAATGACCTGGCTTTGAACAAATTTTTGTTATTTTCATTATAGATCAGATTCCTCACTTTATAATTGTTACAATCCTTTTTGTACAATTGTTTAATATCAATTTCAATTTGGAACGTATTTTTAATTGAAAATTTCAATTATTATTTTTCTTTTTGCAATTGGAAATAACACAAAAAAATATTTTTATTTGAACTGTATTGGTTTTAAATAATTTCAAATATTCAAAGCTTTCAAATTGTCAGATATTATTTTTACATTTAATTTATAAACTGATAACTAAAACTTCTATTGATCGAAGTGCAAAATTGATTTTTAAAATAACTTCCATATTTTCACAAATTCAACTCTCAATACTACAAACTGAATATGACTTTTTGTTCTCTTTGTAACATGTTCGTTGATGTGACTTTTGACTTCAATAATTACACATACACAAAATATCAACGTTTTATAATTTTAAATTAAAAAACATTCTTTCAAAGATATTAATTTAATTTTTCATTTTTCAGGAAGTAGGAAGTATTATTGGGAAGAAAGGCGAGATTGTCACGAGGTTCCGTGAAGAAGTAAGTAATGAAAAACATTTTAAATAAATCACAACTTTAATTATAACAAATAATAAATTTACTATTAATGAACTAATTTTTTATTTTAGTCTGGAGCAAAGATAAACATATCGGATGGTTCTTGTCCAGAGCGAATTGTAACTGTAACTGGACCAACTAATTCTATCTTCAAAGCTTTTACTTTGATATGCAAGAAATTCGAGGAATGGTGCTCGCAATTTCACGATGTTCAGAGCGGAGGTGCAGGTGGTGGCGGTGGAACTCCTAGGACTCCAATCACTCTGAGACTCATCGTACCTGCGTCTCAGTGCGGATCACTAATTGGCAAGGGCGGATCTAAGATCAAAGAAATTAGAGAAGTTACCGGTGCACTGATTCAAGTTGCTTCAGAGATGTTGCCAAGCTCGACAGAACGTACAGTCACTATCTCTGGCACCAGCGAGTCTATTACTCAGTGCATATATCATATCTGCTGTGTCATGCTAGAGGTGAGATGAGAATAAGGAATAGGTAATAAGATTCATACGTAGCATGACGTTTCGACGAATTTTTTTTCGTTCAATTTGTGATCTACATCTCAAGAAACGTTGGATAAATATACGTAAGGTGAAGAATTTGTTATCAGCAGTATCTTAGCAACCAATTCATGACGTTTTCTTCAATCTCTCTGACCTTTATTTAAATAAACAGATGGTTGATTATTGTTGTTTCACGATTTAAATTTATTATTTGTATATTTATATCATTTAAAGTAGTTTTTATGAGATAAAGTAATACTGTTAATTAAATTTTTTTTGTTAGAGAGATATTGAATGAAAATTCAAAGAGCTTTTGATTAACTAAAATAATTGAAGAAAAAATAAAAATGTCGATAACAGAATTCTTCATATGGAAATAATTTTATAATTTTATCATAGTCTATTATGAGTGATAACACTATTCAATCCTCATGGAAGATTATGGTAAAAGGTCAAAGGTCCGTTGATCAAAATAGGAGTTGATAATTATGATTCACTGACATAATAAATTTCATACAAGGGTAGATTAAAAGGTTTTCAAAATTTAATAATTTAAACCTTTTATATAATAAAAATAAAATAAATGCTTTTGTAAAGTTTAAATTTATGAAAAAGTTTTATAAATATAGTAATAAACAGCAAAAATATACTATTGAATAAGTATTATATTTAGTAAATGAATATGATGAAAATAAATGTCAAAACTTTAGTTTTTATACTTGTTAGAAAAACAACTCAATTTATCCTCGTAGTTGGCACAAGATCAACAGATCTTTGAGATAGATGATATCTAAACAATGAAGTATTTAAGTAAAGACGTCACATTAGAGTGACGTAAAAAATATAGCACTAATAATGCGCACGAATACGCGCGACTGTTTGTTTTTTGTCTGTTTCAGTCCCCTCCCAAAGGTGCCACGATCCCTTATCGCCCTAAACCCCAAGTTGGTGGGCCAGTGATCCTGGCTGGTGGCCAAGCTTACACCATCCAGGGTAATTACGCGGTGCCCGCCCACTCGGACGTAAGTACAGTATTGCCATTGCCGGCATCCGCTGCCGGGCCTGCCCAACCCTCGCTGAACACCCAAACTCTTACCGCATCGCCATTCGCGGCTGCCCACCCTTCCTCACCTTTTGCTTCACACGGTCATCCGCTACTCCCGGCCCACCTCACCGGACCCCATCATCCGCTACACCCGAGCTCCTTACACGCCAGCGTGGCAGGCCTCGCCGACCCCCTGCTGAAGAGTGGACACTTGCAGGCAGCCCTCCCGCCCGCACTCGTGGCAGACGCCGTAAGTCTTTTGTTTTTCGTGATCCAATCCAACCCCCGTCACCCCTTACTCAACCCCAGCCCCACTTTCAACCCAGTGTTCCGTTCTCCAACTCATCCACATGAGACATTGACTAAGCTCCACTTAGATCTTAGTCACCGAAGACTGATACTCCCTGGTAAGAACTCCCGCTTATGACACGACTACCAGACTCACCTTTGCTAATTCACCCGGCACGGTGGTGGAATCAAGCCAATTTTTTACTTCACGTTGAAGCTCAGCACAAATTCACTGATGTTCTATTTTTTAGATTTACCCTTACATTAGATCAGTCATATTTAAGGGAAAGGAGAATAATGATAATGATGGGAAAATGTTTTTCAACAAATGATGAACGGATTTATTCAATTAATTCATATCCACACACACACACATCACTTGAAAACATACTTGGAATGATAATTAATCTGTAAAAAATGAAATGGATAATCGAAACTTGGTAGATCTGTGTTATTCTATAAACTATAATTATTCGGATACACACTGATTTTTACTCAGTTCTACTGTTACTGGTTTATTCATAGTCCAAGTCAATTAACAAAAAGTAAATTCATGTTTCGATAACCAACTATGCAATTAAAAAATTTGGGATATATTCATTGAACAGAAAAATTGACTCAAGTGACGAGGTATACATATTTTTTAATTATTCTACAAAAATAAAATATGTCGAATCTAAAATACATTTTTCCAAGCTGGTAGATATTTTTAATTATGTCTAAAATTTTATCAAGTCTTTAATTAAAAACTCTTATTTTTTTTGCCATTAGTAGTTCATTACATTCAAATTTTTCATTAATCTTTTTTTCGTGTCTAAATCCTAACTAATGTGAATTAATATGAGCTTCAACAAAGAGCAATGTAATAAAAAAATGAACAGTTTTATTTGCAAATGGAGTTGAATAAGTTAAAGGAAGCAATGGAAAGGTATTGTAATTGATGACTTCTTTGTCGTATGCATTTAATCAACGTCTTATCAATGCAGAGTTGGATAACTACTTATACTTTGAAATGATAAAATGTCACGAGGCGGGTTTTGCTTGACACTTGAATTTCCATGACTCCTGCCACCGTGTCCATTCAGTAGAACATATTCCCGGCGTGTACCTGAATGTTCCTAGATAAATATAACCATTTAATCCATTTTTCTTCCTGTCAGAACGTACATACTATTTCACCTACACCCACTATTATTACTTTCCATGTGCCTTGCAAAACTGCAGACAGACGCTAATACTCCTGGCTTGCCGCTTGAATTTTTCAAAGCTTAATAAGTTCTCTTTTTTAAAAATTATTTCAAATTTTTTTTAAAGAGGACTTTGAAAGGCTTTAACATCCTTTTATCTTCAAACGTACTTGTGAACTTGGATTGTAAAATTTTTTTAATGTAAAAATGATTAAATTTATCATTTTTTTTAAAGTCAAACGATGAAGAATCCAGTTCTACAAGAATCTTTTGAAGATTAATTTTATTTTCATTTTAGCATGGATACTAAATGGCTTCTTGAATGTTATTTCTTTTCTGCAAGTGTTTTGCTTGGAATAAATGTTCAAGTGCATGATTTGATTACTTTTGATTGTCTTTATTTTATTGTTTCTTTTATTCCGACAAAATTCAATTTATCTCGATGTGTCGTTATGGTGAAAAACAAAAAATAAATAAAAAATACAATTTAATTTTTTTCTTTTTAATCATTCATTATTTCTTCCGTTCGCGAAAGTTCAATTGCACTTTCGTGTGCACATAAAATTGCCCGGGAGATTGGATGAGTTCGTGGCCAAATATAATTACGTCGCTATCGGCTCACGAGTAACGTTGAATAGTTATTTGCTAATTAGCGACGCTTTTTGTACGACCCAGACGTCCAATGACGCAGGGGTAAATATACTCTCTTGGTTTTTCGTCCTATTTACAGTCTGAATTTGACTTGTGAAGCGCAATGGAATTGTGAATTGAATTCTTTTTATATTATTCTTCAAGTTTTATTGTCAACAAATGCGCCTATTTATACAATTATTTTTGTTCATTTTTATTTTTTATTGAAAATTTTCTATAATTTTTTTAACAAAGAATGCATGTGACAGTGGTAGAAAAATTGTAGGATACTCAACAAATCAACTATAATCTTGTTCTATTCTCGAAAGAAATTTCTATTGCTGATGGTAGATGAAAATTATCAACTGATTCTGGAATTGTAAACTGTCCAAGGATGCATGAGAATGAAAAAATATTAGGATCTTTTAGTTTCTATCACCTTTTTTTTTTTTACATTGAGAGAAAAAATTGTCAAAAAAGATGTGATTGATTAGAAGAGACTACGCCAAGTTAATGAAAAAATTTTTTGAAAAAAGTAATTAGTTTAATTGAAAATTGTCTCTCAATGTAAAAACCGCTTCGAAATCGCTTAAATCTTTTATTTATTTTCTTCGATTTTTATTTCGCCGGAAAAACTTTGATTTCTAACAAAATAAAACTTCCTTCATAATCCAATTATTAGATATTAAAATACTCTAAGACACTTGTGACATCAACTTTAAAGTTGAATTTTCTTTAATGAAAAATTTATTCTCTCAAGTTTTTCGAGTACTACTTCTTTTATTTCAACTTTTATTTTCTGTATCGTATCATTCCTTTTCGCAGTGACACTTGGGCATTACTACTCTTTAGTGGCTCTCGTTAGATGAAATAAACAGCATGGCTTATTCAGCACTTGACAAAAGAAAATTTTTTGATAAAAATAATAAAAAAGTTTTTTAGCAAGAGTTTGCGCGAGGGTGGGCTGCCCTTAAAATGTTCATGTTTTTTTTTTTATTTTAACAATAAGAAGATATTTTATATGTAAAAATAAGTTTATTATATACAGTGGACAGTGAGAAATGTACACAAATTAGATCGTTAATGTATTGTTGGTAAAATTAGACTAGAGTTTTCGCACAGAGATGAGTGAGAAATATGGCAAATCATTCGGAGAAATATTTATTTGTTGTTATTGTTATTATTCTAGTTAATTTTCTCCGGGGTTTTACTACATTTTGATATATTCATTTCTTTTTATTTTAAGTTGAACTTTAATATTCAAAAGATAAATAAAAAAAAAATGTATATTCTTCGTTTGGAAATGAAATATCTAGCAGTAGATCAAAATTCCACGCCTCTTTAATCTTTCATTTTGTCATTTTATATCATTCCGTCGCGTTCTCAAGTCAAAAGAGAAAAACATTTTTTCCTCCTTTACAAATATTTAAAAACCAAAGTAGAGATAAAAGAGGAAAGTCGTACCGGAGGGAATAGCTTGAATGAAATCTCGGCGTCGGTTTCTATCGTTCGTGATCTTTTTTCGCACGTCTTAAAAGTCTTCGAATAAAAAAAAGGAAGGAAAAAACGTTTATATTGAAATAAAATAAAGGAAAAAAATAAATTCAACTCTGATAGAAACAAGAAAAAATTCAACTTTTGTTATTTGAAAAAATCATGATCTCTCTATCTTGATATGTATATAGTATCCAATTTTCCGCTAATTTGATTGTGACAGTGAGAGAAGAATTTATTTTCAGTAAAAAAGTTGATTTAAATTGAATAAAATGTTGAACGCGTCTGTATAACCAATCAATTCAGTCTAATTTTTTTTTAACAAATTGACGTTCACTAATAATGAATAATTGCATGTTTATTTTGAAACTCTTAAGCAACGTTAAATATTTGCTGACGTATGTCAATTATTAGTTGGTAAACATTTAAAAATAATTTCAATCAAATTAAATTCTTCTCTAAATATTCTCCAGAATAAGTCACAAACTAAAATCATGATTTACTACCTTCATATTAATTTATTTAATTTATGAATATTTTAAATAATTCAACTAGATAGTTTGCATTCTATTGACAATCGATACAAAATATATCCAAGCTTTCTATTAGACGAATACAAAAGAGCAATTTTTCGTAATAAAAGAAATAAGAATATTGATAAAGAAATGAAAAGAATTTGTTCTCCGCATTGATGTTTTGCCAGTTGTTCTCCATTCCCAATTAATGAGTTTAGAAACAGGAAGTAAAAGACACTTAAATTTATTTTAAAAGTAGGTTTACTCGTCGCTGTTTCAGATGGGAAAACTTGGAAGTAATCCACTGGCTGGTCTTGCAGCCCTTGGTTTGGGAGGGCTAGCAGCTCCTGCTAATACTGGAGGATTAAATCCGGCTGGTAAGTAACAAAATTGGCATCGACTACATACTTACGCACAATACTTAATATAAGTTATGTACAAACTTTCAGCTCTGGCAGCTTTGGCCGGAAGTCAGCTGCGTACGAATCACACTAACAGACAACAGCCAGCAGCTAATAATCAGACACATGAAATGACTGTGCCAAATGAATTGATCGGCTGCATAATCGGCAAAGGGGGAACGAAAATCGCTGAAATTCGTCAAATCTCTGGAGCGATGATCAGGATCAGTAACTGTGAGGAGAGAGAGGGTGGAGCTACAGATCGGACGATCACAATCACTGGAAATCCAGATTCAGTTGCACTCGCGCAGTATCTCATCAATATGAGGTGAGTTTAATGGAAGGGATCGGCTCGATAGATAATTAACTAAAGCCCTATGAAAGGGAATAAATTATTCTGCAGATTTCCTCTCAGTTAATAACGCCAATAAAATGCACTATTTATAGAAAATAGTTGGCATTTTTGCAACTCTTTGATGTTTTACATGATTATGTTTTATGTTAATTTACTATATACATTTACATTTGCTCTTTTGAAGTTACAGTAGGATCCAAATTATTCATTTTAGGGCAAATATCATACGTACAAATTATGTTGATTTTACTTGATGTAAAACAAAGAAAATTATTGCTGAAATATTTTCAAAAGCTAAACCTTCAAAGTCTGCTTTCCAGAATCTTAATTATTCCATTTGTAATTTCACTCTTATGGCAATAGAGTGAGAATGTTAATTAAAAACAAATATTTTTCGTGCATATAACAATTTTTTTATGTTTTCATATACTTTCCAGTAATAGATTATTGAATTAGTTTACATTCTGATTATTATCAACATTTTTGTAGTTATTTTTTAAATTAAAACTTACAAAATACCAACGTAAATATAAATGAAAATATTGCATCAGTTGTTAGACGATAACTGATTGTTTTTTTATTCGATCCACAGGTGTACAAGTTTCAGTGTTAGAATTTTCATTTAAGCATTAAACATATATATTACATATCAAAGAGGGTTGAACATGGAGAATTATATATTATGCACCCTCAAAAGCACAAACTTCTTGCTCATGTACTGTAAAAGAAAACGTGTTGATGCAGTCAATCGTGATAAACTGTCAAAGTTATTTGACTAAGATGTAAATGTATATAGTATTTTGACTTTTGAATTGTTTAGAAAAAAAATATCAGAGGAAATTTGCATGTGATACTTGACAAACAAAAACGAGTATAAAAAGTTTATATTAATGTCATATCAAGGAATTTTCATGGTTGAATTTCACTTCGTATATATAATAGATGTATATGCATATATATTTTTATCTGTAACTCCTCTTATCATTTCTCATTGTGCATTCATACTCGGCGACTGAGGCAAACGTGTTCTGTGAAGCAATATGGTGGGATGTAGACGTATAAGTACCAAGATACGATTTTACTTCTATGAAAAAAAAAGATGAAAAAAACAAATTAAAAAGCGTACAAAAATTTGCAAACACTTGGAAATATCTGATTCGTCTTAATTAGTCTCAACATTTTGTTTATTTACAAGTTAATTTAAATATATCAGTGTCGAATAATTCAAGCTTGTTAAGAATAACACGTAAAGTAAAAGACGAAACAGAAAATCAAGTTCTTGATGGAAGTTTCGTGTCACGTCATGATGATTAGAGTTGAGATGGATTACATTTACTTTAGCTCCATCAAACAATTTGCATTTTGTGAAAGATAAGAATTGGTCAATGGTAAAAGCATCCTATCCAATGAATCATTATCTGAGTCCTCAAGACATCCAACCAAGAAGTCAAGAGATCTACAGAAATCTGGATTCCATGATTCTGGAGCATCTAATATCCAGTTGAGAGTACTTGAAATCGTGTTTCTAGGTTACTCTCTGATCTCTACTATACTAGAGTCGCCACTTCTACTATCACATCTCATATAACCATATCTAAAGCTTTTCAAAACCATGAGAAACGTTCGAGAAAATCTTGAAAATATTTTTATACACCAAAATCACACAATGCATAAAGATTTTATCACACATAAAATTTCCATATTTGCAGTTTTATAAAATGGAATGATAAAATCCAAACCCAATAACATTCCTAATATAATAAGTTTCATTTCATAACGTTCTTTAGTATGACTACTTTTGACATCCAAATATCAATAAAAATCAAATTCAAAACCTTTTTGAATAATAGCATTGATGCAATTTAAGTATTCACAATGTTCTATTGTACTTTTTTATTGCATTAATACACGAAATTTATTTTTAAAAAATTCACCAGTAACATAAAAGATGTTAAATATCGATATTATTCAAAAGTTTACAAGGTAAATGTTGAGGATAAAAAATATTTAAATTTAACATTCTGAATAAAAAAATCCATTTTACTCAATCATTGTGACGTACACGATGTAAAGAGGAGAATTGAGCAGGTGAGAACTTAGACATAAGGGTAGGATTCAAAAGAGGAAGGAAGAAATTTTTTCCTCTTTTTTTGATGGCATAAGAAAAAGATCCAGCTGCAAATGTAAACGAAAAGATGGGTCTCGTCATGTCCACTTCAATGGTGCTCCAAGGAGAGAAAGAAGAGGATGAATACGAAATTCATAATCCTTTGTTTCCAGGTCCTGTTTTCCAGGTCCAGTACCTTGAGATCCTGCAGAAAATCAACTCCGTTCTTTCTCAATATTTGTTCCCATTGCCGCTGGCTCTCCTTATTGTTTTAGCCGTAAAAGAAATTCTATTTTAAAGAAATGAGATTGTAATAACTATTCTTTTTTACCAACTAGCGATGATGTATTACAAAATCCTGTTTCCTTTAGTTATAAAATACGGACTTTGATTTTTTTTACAGAGACTCCTTTATCCTCAAAGGTGTTTCCCGTCCAAGAGGCTTTTAATGCTTTTGTAATATTATACGAACTTTTGTTGATATTTTTTTTTTTTTATTTAACGCTTTACTGTGTTATGTTTATCTTCTATTGTTGAATACCGATCAGCTGCAGTCATGTCGCGTTATTTTAGTTAACTAAATTGACATAATAAAAATATTTTGACATTGATTAAACTAATTTCCTCGGGTTCATTTTCTTGCATCGCAAAACTTTTTTTTTTTTTATAATTTTTATATTAAAACAGCTTCTCATGACGCAACTGATTGACTCACAAATTTTCCAGTTTCGCGACTCACAAAGGATTAAAAAAAATTCAAGAGGATAAAAATTGTGTATTAATCAACGCTTCAAGCATTAATTAACAAGATTTTGCACAGCATTTGATTTATTGGCCACATTTTAACCTCATCGTAATTTAAAGCAAAAAAAATTGTGTTCATGAATATCAAAGTTCATATACGTTTTTGAATATTTTTTTATTCTGGCAGTTCTTCATTGCTTTGGTTTTTTTCAGTTATTTTATTTCTCAATTTTTTTTTTTTTTCATACATTTTTATAATCTATTAAATATATTTTATTCCAGATTGTCACTGACATTAAACCACTGCAAAATAATTTTACGGAATGACCAATCCGTAGAAAAAAAAAAATTACACAGTTTATCATTAATCCTTGATAAATTTGTCTCGCCAAAATTTTTCATGTTATTTATATCGTATTTACATATTCATAATTTTTTAAAATTTAATTAAACAATTGCACTTTAGTCGCATGATTTGCACTCTGCTTTATGCAAATAAATTATAAAAATAATTAATTGACAATTAATTAACAAAAACTATTAATATCAACCGCTAATAAATCATTCATGTTAGCAGAGTGCACATTTTGCGTGATAATTATTTTAAATTTTAATCATCATTTAGAGTTTAACGAGGACACAGTTGTTACTTTTAATGCTTCTTTATAGATGAATAATCATTTTACTTAACATTAAATATACACATCTGCGTATTAATTAATTATAGTTGAGTACACACTGTGTCTTCGCTTAGCTCAATGCAATCGGCGAGGCATTTCCTTTTTTAACGCCATCGCGCACTAAGAGGCCTCCAATTACTATCAACAGCCTGGTCTTATTGCGCTGTGGATTACTCACACTTTGTAGTCTCGACCTTCACAGTATTACTTCCTGAACTGTATTTCCGAAAAAAACGAAAAAAAATTTTAATTAAATTACGGATATCGTTTTGCTTGAACCAAGACAAAATCAAGTATACTCTGACAGTCGAGTTTACAAAAGCACTCTTCCATAATATTCTTATATAATTTCTTTAATTTTTTGTCTCTTAATTATATAATTCATTACCCGTTCTCATTTCATTATTTTCAATCTCGACGTATAAGAAATGAAACGCAAAAATATGTTCCCACCCTCACCTTTTTACATTTGTGTCTTTTCCCCAGTGTCGAACTGCAGAAAGCTAACCTAGAGGCCCAAAATACCCAAACCCCTGGCAGCGGCACCACTCCCGGGGCATCCGGGGCCAGTGCTTCCCCTTCTACCACTACTACCACTGCCTCTCCCTTGGCCAGCGCAATCCCCTTGGCTCAGCTGCTAAGCAAGCCAGGAGCCCTCAACGCCCTATCTAGCTTGACTGCCCTTGGTGGGTTGACGGAATTACTCGGCGGCGCTGCTGGTGCAGCTGCTGCAACTCTACCTGTCCAGACAACTGGTGTGCATCGTTCTCACAAGACCTTCACACCTCGTCTACGAAGTCCTGGAACTCCTGGACCTACTGAGAGCGGGAAATTCAAATCGGAGAGGACCAAGTACAACCCTTATTGAGCGAGTGCGATTGTTGTTTGAGACGCACGCTTTTGTGAGGGATTTGAGGTGATGATGATGATAAGAATGATGATGATGATAAATGATGATAATAATAATTTCATAACAATGATGATAGAATCATTGCAGACTTAGATCTTAAGAGACAAACAAAATCAGAATGAAACGTACTCTGAGTTTCTTCTAGATCTTTTTTTTTATATATATAAAAATGTAAATCATTTTTATAGATTTTTGCGAATGTTTCTGATATAATTATGATGGATACTGTTGGTGGATTAGTATGGGACTGTATCGTGTGAACTAGCTTAAATCTAGTGATGTTTTGTATTATTTCTTTATAAATTATGTTCGTTTTTTGACTTTATACGACGACTTGAGAAGCTTTGTAGTACTATATGTTATAGTACATTTTTTTATATCTTTTTTTGTTATAATTCTGGATAATAGAGAAGCTCAGAGCGCGAGATCGTAAGAGGAGAAATGTTTTTTTACATATTCTTATTATCATTACTATGGATTATATTGTAATATTTACCTACGTACACAAGAAAAAGAAAATTCAATAATTGTTATTATCTCTATAAAATACGACAGTAGTGAGAAAACAAGTCTGTATCTAGATATATAGAGGCATCATAAATCGCGAAGAATTTTTGTTAACTATTGTACGTCTTTGCTTTGGATTAAATCGCATAAGGATACGAGAAAAATCATTTTTTTGTCATAAGTCGCGAGTGAAAAAGTGAGAGAAACTTGAAGAACATAGAAACAGATAACAAAGAAATGAAGTGAGAATAAATTAACTAATTTTGGATCGTGTATTTTCAATAAACAGTCATGTAATTAATAATTAATCGAATATAAAATAATGCTAAAACACATAATAAATCGCAAAAGGTGGCGGATTTTTTCGATAATTTTTTGATGAATCGTATACCAATTGAATAATTTATTCATACAGAAGTAAAGTGTATTGTAATCATGTTTATCTTAATAATCTAGTTTGAACTGAATTATAATGTATAAAAAAAAATAAAACCACAAAATGAAACATGTGAATATGTGGTTTAAATTCTAATAGAGTTAAATGCTCAAGATTAAACTCGCGAAAAGTCCGCCACCGGAAGTGGAAATTGGCGAGCTTATATCATTACACAACAGAGACGCCTTTACTTATGTGACGTTGGTGAGTGTTATATTAATTAAGATTTAAGTTGATATACATCTAAGCTTATATATAAAGTATGTATAGTGTCATAATTAAAAAAAATAGAGCCTGGATATATGCATTTTTTTATGCAAACATTTGACACATTTAAGAAAAATTTCAAACTACACCGTTTTTCATAATAAAGCACAGATTTTAGGTAAATAAGGGTAAGAGAGAATTTTGTTTTTGATTTAAAAAATGTTTATTTGATCAAAATTATTTTTATGAAAAATATTTTAAAAAATTTTCAGTTTGTAATGTAAACTGTATATGAGGAAAATCTCTCGAACTCTAATCGATAATTAATTGCGTGCTCAACCTTAGTTTATGGATGTTCTGATTCATTAAAGAAAGCAAACACCGTTAAAATAAAAACGTTTATTTATCAAATTTTTTAGATCGATTTATAAAATGAAGTTAATTGAAAATGACAAATGACAAGGAAAAATAAACAAATATATTTAATAGAATTTTACTTAAAGATGAATTCAGTAGATTGAAGTAATGATTATTCTGATAAAATATTCATCAGTCTTTTTTTTAGAACTAAGTCTTAAATAAACAAGAATTTACTTCTTTAAAATAACATAAAAATAAAATAGGTGAAAAAGATGGTACACATTGTGTGCTTATCAAACACTTGGCTAACTTGTATCACTTTGTTGAATAAATCTAGGCGTGTTTAATACAAAATAAAAGAAACTCATTAAGGTTTCATACTCTGTTACTTTGGTCTACCTTGACATATTCGTTAAAAATTTTTTTAATTTGTATACATGTTATTTTTTAATTTATATTTTTTTCTTACTTTAATTTATCTTATTGAAATTCATTGTGAGCGTGGATATTTCACATTGAGCGAACGTTTGGTTAAATTTTTTTATTTTCCAGAGCATTACCCTTCGTTTTATATTTTTTTCTTCATAATTATAGTTCATTTAACACGGCTGTAAGGATGTAAAAAATACGATAGTACGTTTTTGAATCACAAAACTTGGTGGAGAATTTTTTAAAAGTGAGCGAGAGAGAGAAAAAAGAAATTTTATAAGAGAGATATAGAAAGGATGTATCCATTCAACCAACTATGACCCAGGCTCCTGCCCATTTTCGGTAAGCACCATCCACTCCTCCGTAGTCCTCTTAATCTACTTGTCCCTTTTAACCGTTTTTTACTTCAACCTTTTTGTTTACTTCAATATTATCTATCAAAATATTTGTATAAATTATTTTCCTATAACTACTCTTCATTTATGTAATATATTGTCTTGTATATGTCTACCAGTATCGACTCTACAGACCTTTTCTTTTTCCTTCAAATTTCCTATTGTTTATTACCTGCAATCATGTTCAATAAGTTACAACTTTGAACAACTGTAGAGTCGATGTACATTACAACAAATTAATGTCAATGTAATATTTTATTAACGATAAATATTTATAAAAAATTTTGTGATACAATATTTAATCCTCATGGAAAAATAATATATTTTTAAAAATAAAATAATGTAGAAAAGATATTAAGCTACAATCTAAATTTTGTTTTCTTATATCAATTTATTTTATTTAAAAGAAGAATTAATTAGATAAGAAAATTTTTAAAATTTGGCTTTGAAATATTTTTTTATATTAATTTTATATAATGAAATATATTTAGTATTTTTTCACAGAGGAATGAACCTTCTCGCGACTGGTAGAATTTTTTTCTTTGTGTAAAACTGACTGGCTTGCAATCAGAACTGATAATAAAATAAATTTTGTTTCAGGATATCGATAGAGACTTCAGGAATGCCAATTCCCGCGTATCACTACATTGCTCCGAATCATATCGTCAAGTCTCCGATTCACTAAAATCAGAGATTTAATTTAACTTCAGGCGGAAAGAAACGTGGGATGATATGGATTGGAGGAGAGACGTAAAGAACTATCGATATACGAAAATCTTCACAACGTGTAGAAGCCGAAAAAATAGAAGATAAAGAAGCTGTCAGTAACATTTTCGAGATGGGTTTTAAATCTCTGTTTAACCAATGTGCTTAATCGACAGTCTTCAGAAAAGACATTAACGCTACACAAACAAATCAACACTTTATTGTACACACGTTTATTGGATACACATGTCGTTCACTTCTCATGAAGGCTGAACGACAAACAAAAATAACACGGACCTGGGCACCGAAATTGTACAGGAAAAAACAGAAGAAATTAAGAGGTAACGCGTACATATATAAAAAAAAAACTTAATTATTAAATTAAATGTAAAAAAAAACAATTTATGGACATCGCAGCTGAAGCTGCTGCCGATTGGTAAAGGGAACAAGCCAAAGATACGTTAGTTTTCATTTTTATATTAAAAAAATGGGATAGTAAAATGAGGTGAAAGAATAATTATTATTATAATTATAATATAATTAATGAATGAAAATACTTAGACGTTGGTATTTTCTACATTGTCTGCGATTGAAAGATTGGGTGAGACGAGTGAACGAAATGAGAGTTAAATAAGTGAAGATAAGGATGGGTATGAATAAGTGTCAAGAAGAACAAACAATTCGGACAGACAGGGTTGACCGAGAGTTCTTGAAAGTAATAGAACTATTCTCGGCGTAATGACGCTTTTACTTCGACTTACCTTTCCATCTTGATTTTTTTCTCTCTATGACTCTAGTTCACACGTCTCGGATAAATTATAAACCATGTAAAAAGTAATAGACTCGGTAAAAAGTATAAGGAAGTAGGAGAGAAAGCGTATAATAATATTAATAAGATGGCAAAGTAATTGATTAATCAATTACTGTGGTGGTAATTAAATGTAGCAGCGTAGCTTTTGCATGCGAACTGGATACAAAATTATTTATTCAACGTAAATAATAGCGGAAGGAGGGGTGGATAATAAAAGCGAAAAAAATAGAAATGTTAGAGAAAAAAAGAGATAAGTAAAATGCCGAGACGTTTCTCTGGTATAAAACGAGATTATGACTCATAAAAAAAATGTATTTAGTCACTATAAAAACTCGTGAATTACCGGAGAACAACGCGTTGTACTTGACGTGCACTTTTAGTTAAAAAATGAGAAGGATTATAAAAATAATAATGATATATTGTAGCACTGATAATGATAATAATAATTATGCAAATTAATCGATAATTTTTTTTTTTAATCAGCTATAATCCAAAGTTAACGTAAAGTGCGACGCATTTGTTGATAAAACAAATAAATTATTACATGGAATATAAAATAATAATATATTATATATATTATATATACATATGAATTATATATTTATTATACGATAAAGAAATAAAATTAATTAGTAAAGATAGCGCTATATGGAAAATAAGAGTTCAAAGTGCGGTTCTATCCGATTAGAAAACGTCATTTATTGATTATAAAATTATTAAATCCCCCCTCCGTGATTTAAAAAAAAATTTTTTTTTTGACTTTTTAATAATTATTTTCTTATAAATAAATGTGTTTTTTAAATTAAAGTGATATTGATCACGATATCAATATATAATTATTATGTATTTAAACGCGACTGATATTCTTGATAAAGATAAGCAATTTAGTGATTCATTTTTATAGTGTTTACGCGTATCCATATCCGAGCGATTAGCTTTCAAGCGTGCAGACATCCTAGAAATACATATCCTTTATAAATACAAAAAAATTATGCTCGATTACTTACAATAACGTGCCAAGGTAAAAAAAAAAGTAAATATAATAATTTTAGAAAATTACAGAAAAAATGATACAAATAATCAGAAAGTATTATCAGAGCTTCCTTACTAAAATTTCTTCGATTTTGAATAAAATACTCGTCTCAGTGAAAAAAAGAAAAATTGATTACGTATTTTAAAATCAATTAAAAAATTCTGTGATTTTTTAGGCCTTCAAAAGGAAAATTTTTAATTATTGTTATTTCTTATTACAAAAGACCAAAGAGCGAGAAAAAGAGAGCGATTGTATATAATGATAATTATTCGTGTTGTTGTAAATATTTGTTGTAATATTGTTTTCGTTATTTATATTTTTCTACAAAATATAAGAAATGAGGGGGGAGGGGAAAAAAAATATAATAATGTGTCATATAAGTAATTTATTATAATGAATTTAAATTGATGCAAATTATCAATTGTTTATTTATTTATTATTTATTTATTTAATTAGTTATTTTTCATTCAATTGTTGTTAATTAACATATTGTTATGATAAGAATCTCTTGAATTAAATTCATGCTAATGAATGGAATAAAATTTCAATATTCAAATCAATCACTGAGGCGAGTATTTCATCATAAAGATTCATTTTCTTCCAAAATTTTTTGTTCTCCTGTTAACTACTATCGTCTTCTTGAAAAAATACAAAGATAAAATATCTTTTTTTAACTCTTCTATATTTTCATAGGATTTCAAAGCGCGTATATTCTTTCTTAATTGTACTAATGTAAATTCAAAAATTATAAATGCGATTGAAAATGTAATATCAGCCTCTACCGATATAAAATGGGTAAATGCAGCGAGATAATTATTTAAAAAAGAAAAAAAATAACAAAAAATAACTAATTAGTGAGAGACGCTACATGAGTGTGTATATCAACAATAAATATTGCTGTGATTAGAATTGGTTCTTTAGTAAGTAGTTAAGGGCGAATTTTGAAACTGTGAATGAAACTAAACATGCAAGGCTTTTAAAAGGTAGAGTGCATAAATGGTAATTCCGAATTACTTATTTAATAAAATCTAAATAATTTAAAATTATATGACTCTGTAATATTGGCTATTGATTCAATTAATCTTTGAATAAATAAATTCATCCACAACTTTTTTTACGTATTTATTGTACGTAATTTGATGAAAATAATAAAGGGCATTGTCGCTGAAAATCCAATGGATTTTTTTGTTAAATTTAATAAAAGAAAAATAGACAAAAGATTAAAATTCAATAGCCAATGAAAATTGTATCTTAAAAGCATATCTGGTTAAACATATGACAAGATTTACATACCAATATAATATAACAACTTTTCCCATCACTGAGAATCGCTATTATATTCTTACCGACTGTAATGAAGCAAAATGAAAATAAAATAATTAAAATAGTTATTTAATCCCACGCGTCGTCGATCGTGTCTCGTTTTAAATTAGCCATGCTAAGTCGTATGTTATCATTATCAACTATAATTAATAAAAAAACAATCTAAACAAATTAATAATTATAATAACAAGTAACAATAATTTTAAAAATATACAAACAATACATAATAATAATGTATTCTACGCTTCGCGTGTGCCACGGTGATAGTACTTAATCGCAAATATTCGAGAGGTGCCGAAAAAAAAATGTCATATTTAAATTTTTTTTGTAATGTAATGAGTTACTAAAAAAAAAGCGTGGAATGATGAGAAAAATTTAAGATAAATTAGGCACGAATAAATAGGACAGGGTCTCATTTTTTATTGGATAGTGTCAGGGTTTCGTGATTTTAATTTATAAACAATTTATTAGCTGTTCTAATTGTTAGAAAAGTTGAATAATTTTAAAAAAATAAAGTGTTGTAAATTTTAATTATTGTTAAATAATTTCATAACGACTGAATTAAACGACTTTGTGAAATTAATTGTCATTTTTCGACGTTGTCAGTGTTTCAATTTTCTTTCTAATGGATGGCAATCTACTGAAAAATAACTAGTTTTCACAGAATATCGGGTAGTGTCGTGCGATCTATTGTGACCTGGAGTAAAGCGAAAAAATAATTAAAACTTGAAAGAAAAGACAATTAAAGTATACCATTAAAGTAACAGTGAGATTAAAAAATAATAAATTTTACGCTGTATACCAGCATTATATCATTTTTCTTTTTCATGGAATTACTGCTTTAGGAGGGTATTAAAATATTAACATGGATCTGGTATGTCAAAGAGAAGAATAATAAAAAATCGAGCATACTAAGAGGAAAATGAGTAATGGATTAAAGAAATGAGATGGATAAAAAATAATAATAAAGCAGTGTTAACCGCGGGCTCAAAAAAATGTGCCAAGCGACGTGCCAAAGTCTTGTTTCCTCCAATTGAAACAGTGTTTGAATAAAATTCATGCAAACTTTGGAAATTAATCGAATGCAGCCGTAATAATAATTCTAAAGGGTATTCTACTTTTAATTCATTTCTTCAATTCAAGTTCAATGTTTTTTTACAGCTTTTTTATACATTTTATTATGTTAATGAAAAAAAATATTAAACAATAATATTTGATTTATCAACATAACGAATTGGTCTTTGTCTATTGTAGAAATATTCCTTTGACTTTGTTCTACTAACTTGATCGATTTGAAAAGTTGTTTTAAAACAGCCCATCTCTATTATTGTCCATTGCATGAAGTAGTCACCTTTCTATTGTCTTGTATAATCGCTGGTAAGCAAAGATAACACAATCTATCTGAGTTTCTATACACTCATCAGACTATAAGCAAAAGTTCTCCTGTGAGTTTGTGATAACGAAGCACTCGATTCAAAGACCTAAAGCGGATTATTCATGGATTAATCTTCAATAGTTTTCGAACTGATTAAAATTTATTGTTTGTTTCAATCATCAAATTTTTTAATAACTTTTATCTATTTGACACTTTGATTCAAGATAGAAAAATTTTTAATTGAATAAAAATTACTGCAAATGGATTATTATTCTTCTGCATCTCTCGTACTCTTTCTTTCTTTTATGCTATTCTTTCTTATATTTCTCTCCTTTGGCCAAAGCACTTACGTTATGAAGCCTTTATAAAACAGGGTCATAAACTTATGCGTTAATGTAAAAAAAAGTGAATAAAAATCATATTTTACATTGATATGAGAAGAAAAAAAATAATCTTAAAAAAAAGAATAAAGTAAATCTTGAAAAAAGAATAAAAATAAGAAAACTTGCTACTGAACTCAAAGTTCAGTTGTAGAAAAAAAGTTATCGAATTTACTTTGAACATTTTCTCTTCGTAATAATAATAATAATAATTATAAGAAGAATAAATGGAAAAAATGATTCTAGTGACTTATTATAAATAAAATGCTCTGTAATAGAAATAAATAAAGTTTGAATTGAGTTTAGTATTGTCACGTACCGCGTTTAAATTCCAAATATATCGCCGTGTTGTATGGCTAAAAAAAAGTACATTATTTCAGGGTAAAAGATTTTTTGTAAAATTGTCTCGTAAACGCAATATTTATGTAAAAACAAAGCGAGTAAAAGCCATGTATTAATCGTGGACAAATGAAAAAATTATACATTAAATGGATGTATGAGTGAATGACTTATGTAATATTAAATAACATAAAACTTCGAAAGAAAGAATTAAAGAGGGTGGTAGGCGCATGAAAAAAAAATTGTACGGAAGATTAAAAAGTGAGAATTTTTTGCAGGTATAAGCATAGGTATGATTATCATATAATAATTATCATTACTATAATAATTAAGCAGATAATTTATAATGAGTAATAATGAAAAGTTTAATGATAAATATGTATAACAAGTATAACAATAATTAATCAAGAAAATAAGTACACAGCTTTATAAAATCATGATTATATTGTTGATAGAAAAGGCTTACAAATAAAATGTAAACGTGATTATTCGGCTGGCGTGAAAGAGTGCTTATGTTATTTAGAAAAATATACAATACAAAGTTCATTAAATCTACATGTAATTGTCGTGAACATATCTAAGCTTTTTTTAATTAAATTTTTTTTATTCTGTTTTAATTAATTAATATAAATGTTCGTATAAATTTAAATAATGATGAAAAAAGATACGTTTACATATCCAACTATTTTGACAAATTGTTAGAATTTTTTTATGATAGACAATATTTTCTTTTCAATCATGGAGAAAAATATGTTTATTTAATTATTCTTATAGAAATCTACTAGTGATTTCTTCGGTCATCTGTTGACTGTAATTACCACGAGAAATGCTACTGCGACTATAATAATTCAATTTAAACAACCAAAAGAACAGCAAATATTTATCTAGCATATTTTCTGTGTTCCCTTGAATTTCCAGTACTTTAAATCAGAAAATCTAAACCCACTAAAAACTGTCTTCTAATCTAATTCATGCATTAGCCATCTTTATGAAAGCAAAAAAAAAATGAATGAAATTAATAAAAAAAATTTGTAATAATAAATTATCTAAAACAAAAAACATAAAAAATAAATTGTGATAAATGTAGAATGAAATGAACTTAAATAAAGGTAGGAAAGAAGAATAATAATGAATAATGCGTAAGGAAAAAATAATACAAAAAGTTACAAGAACAACTTCTAAAAAATACTCGGGGTCCAACATCCTCGAACGAATCATTATTATAAAATCATGATATATTTTGTATTTGCGCCGATGTGCAATTAATAATAATACTAAGACAGACAAGATAAAGATAACATAGAAAAGGAGAGAGGAAAAGTTTCTTTTAAGAGCAAATATTACAATTGTTGTCTATTTATAATTGATTGTATCTTCACTTTAGATAATATGTTGTTAATTAGTTGCCATGAGAAAATAAGCACTTTCAGAAAATTTACCTTTCAATATAACTTGAAATGCAAACATTTCCAGTGCTTTTTTCTTCAATTATTATTTGCTCAACATTCTTCTCTATTGAAGAATAAATAGTGAGGACAACAGAAATATCGTCTTCTTTTTCATTATAAATATTTGTTTATTTACTATATTTATAATCTTATTTTAATAACCCACATTTATCATGAGATTATTTATGAATTTTTTTTTATTGCTTTTTGTTTCAACAGAATAATTTAGTGATTCGTTCAATCGTGTTGTGCTCGATAATATTTAAAAGTGAAAATTATTGTAGATGTTGTGAGTCAAGAACATAAAAACAAATTTTTAATCTTGATATAAAAAAAGAACTATGAAATGAATGGGATAAATAACTTAATAAATAATTTGTAGGTTTATCGAGCTTCAAATAATGATATTAGAACTGCTGGCAATTAATTATATTCTTACTTTTTTTTAATGTGACTAATCTACCAATAAACTTTACCTATAATGTTTTTTTGTAGAATATTTATTCAAATAATTGTATATATAATCACTATTAATTCATCATTTATGTGAGGTAAAAAATGTAGAAATTAATTAATCATTTTTTTAATTATCGCCAAGATCGTGGAGTGAATAATAATCTCAGAAAATTATTTTAACAAATATTAATTACATTTAACAAACACGCGGGCTATTTACCCGACTTCTAAACGGGATCAAGATAATGAAAAAAAAATATGATTAAGAGATTCACAAGTACATTTTTTCTGATAATATGCATTCATACGTTCTCTTAGTGTTAACTTATTCGCAAGAATGACTAAATAACGCAATTAAGTGAAATAATAATTAATAAAGAATGAGAATAACGCTGACGGAGATTTACGAGAGAGATGGAATAACTAAATAAAACACTTAGATTAAAAAAATCACGGATTACTACCGCTCGATAGTGATTTAATGTTTGTAAGGGCAATAATATTGTAAATTTCGAGTACAGTGTATTTGAATGTGTAAGATGCATAAAAAGACAAATTTTTTTAGATATTGCACTATATAATATTTATTATTGTAAGGTAAAGAAAAAAAAGTATAATGATTAATAACTAATGAAAAAATAAAAACAGCCAGTGAATGTTCAATGAACTCTCTCGTGGCTCGCATTTCTTCCTCTCTTCACATAATTTGTGTGATTGCAAAAAGAAGAAAGCTAAAAATATCACGTGACTACCATAAAAATCATTTCTTATTTCTTCATTAGAAGATTATCTCGGAAAATAGAGTACATCATATGGTAGAAACGCGAAGCCACAAATATGCAATCGCCAATAATAATAATTCTTGATAAATACTAACAAATGGAAAGATAAATAAAAGAAAACGAAATATACGATTCTTTCTAAATGAAAAAAATAAAAATTTAAACACAATAAAAAAGTAAAACAAAATGTGAGAAAGAAGGAACAAAATTTCTAGTGTTTACATTACGATTGATAATTCTATTATTGCATATTATATTTATAATAATATTATTATTATTATTCTTATTATTATTGTCATTGTAATGTTTGTTTCCGTTATTAAAGTGTGTATATAGCAATACCATCTACATAAATTATCTTCTAACTTACTGAAGCCTTTAATTGAAAAATATCTACTACATGAAGTATATCTCTCTGCTAATTATAGTACCTATTATGATTGATATTTTAAAAAATCTTCAAAATAATATGCATATATAAACACATATATTTAATTTTGATAGTAATTAATAAAGACATACGAACGTTCTGAAATAAAAAAAAATGCATGAATTTAAATGATTTCTATTTTGTTCTACTTATTGATCAATCAACCAATTGTTATGATTAAAGTTATTTCAGCATCATGCATTTGTTTCAATTAATCTACAAAAGTAAGTATTTGAGTATCATCTAAGTCAAACTAGAGTAAATATAATGCGTAGCTGGATGTAATGCATAATAGCATAGTTATTATTGCGTTAAACTGTATTGAAGTCCAATGATAATAATAGTTATTTAATGATATATAATAACAATGCGAGACCAAATTTGATGTATAACGAATCATAAAAAGTACATTAACTTTATCTCTATTGATCTCAAAAGTTGTATAAATGAATTTAAGTTGATAAAATTTACCTAAATTTATTCTTAAAATGTCATCCTCCAAAATAATATTATTTTTCGTGGTAGCAGTTATTTGAGTAACTCATGCATTTGCTATCCTAATCAACAAGAGTAAGTACACTATTTAAGTGTTATTAATATTTATAATTAGATAAAAGTAGTTAGTAAGAATTTAGTTATTAATTTATATCATTCGAAATTGTTATATTTTTCATTAAGAAAAACTGAAATTTTATTCATAAAAAAAGCCCTCTTTTAGTAACTCTTTTCTGTCTTTAACCCATATAATGTTAATATAAAATAAATATTTGGATTGATGTAACAAATAAAAAAATATTAATGTTATAACATTGCATCAATTTCGTTACATAGTAATTGGTTACTTCTGAATATCTGTCGTACTACCCAATAACAGTAATTAAGTTAATTATTTTTCTCCATGTATGTTAAAGTAGTTCATAGATAATAGTCCCTTAATTGAAGACTACACTTGACTCATGAATAATTTAAATATTTGTCTATAAAGTTTTAATTTATAAACAAAAGAGAGCAGGTAAGCAAAGTTTATTGTTGTTTTTACATTGAGTAAAAAGTTAAAAGTGAAGACACGTTTACAAAAGTTACATATCAGTTTGTAAATTAATGATTATATTGACAATTATTTATATAATTGTTGCACTTGCTCTTCCTTCTCCCAAACGTAAGTGTAATTATGAAATATTGGCTATTATCATTTTTATTCATTCAATATATCTTATTCAGAAAAACGTGACTTCTTGGGTCTGCGATCACCTTAAGCCAAACAATTATTCTTTCATTGTATGTAATTTTTTCATGAAATAAATTGCTATGGGTTAGGCAGACAATTAACTTTAGAATATGAAAATGATTTTCTCCAATGATTATGCCTTAGGAGCAAAACATGTAAAAAAGTAATATCTTTATTCTTGAAAGTTTGAAATTTATCGCTTCCTTAATCCTTATCACACACCTTACTCAAAAACTTCTGTACAAATTTTGATGATATTCAGCATGACACTTACACCAAGTTTATCGCATAGTCTCGAGGGGGCTCTTATCAATAGCTAAAATTGATAGCTGAATATACCAACCTTTAAGTAAAAGTGGATAGATATTTAAAAATTTAAATGTACAGTAAATGTTCTTTGTTATTCTTCCTACACCTTGTTTTTCCACGAAGAATAAAATTTCACCTTAAATTAGCAAGGAAAGTCAGAGGAATAAATAAAGGAAATTTACTACCTCACAAATACCAAAGTGTATAAAAACTTCAGCCAACAAAGAGAAAGTATGTCTTTTATAAAATTAACGAAAACTTTTTAATTTCAATATAAAAACAAAATTATTAAATATCAATGATTTCTAATATTTCAAGGGTTAATAAATGCATTATACACGAGTATTGAAATTTTTTTATTCAAATTCTGAGAAGTATTTCAATATAGAAAAAGTATCAATCAAAAAATATCAAAAATCAATAACATTTCTCAGATTCTTTTTTTTCTTTAATATTCTTCAGCACCTTGGTCTTCTCCTTCAACTGAATCAGTTCCAACTTCTTCATAATCCTTTTCAAGAGCAGCAAGATCCTCTCGAGCTTCAGAAAACTCTCCTTCTTCCATACCCTCACCTACATACCAATGAACAAAGGCACGTTTGGCATACATAAGATCGAATTTATGATCAAGACGAGCCCAAGCTTCAGCAATGGCAGTGGTATTGGATAACATGCAAACTGCACGTTGAACTTTAGCAAGATCACCTCCAGGAACAACAGTTGGTGGTTGATAATTGATTCCGACTTTGAATCCAGTTGGACACCAGTCAACAAATTGGATTGTACGTTTAGTCTTAATAGTAGCAATAGCTGCATTGACATCTTTAGGTACAACGTCTCCTCTGTATAACATACAACAAGCCATGTACTTTCCCCGACGTGGATCGCATTTGACCATCTGATTAGCTGGCTCAAAGCAAGCATTTGTAATCTCTGCTACTGAAAGCTGCTCATGATAAGCCTTTTCAGCAGATATGACTGGAGCGTAAGTGACCAGAGGGAAATGAATACGTGGATAGGGTACCAAGTTAGTTTGGAACTCAGTAAGATCAACATTTAATGCTCCGTCAAAACGTAGAGATGCCGTGATTGAAGATACAATTTGGCCAATTAGTCTGTTTAGATTAGTGTATGTTGGACGTTCTATATCTAAATTTCTACGGCAGATGTCATAAATAGCTTCATTGTCCACCATAAAAGCACAATCTGAATGCTCCAGAGTTGTATGTGTTGTTAGAATTGAGTTGTAAGGTTCAACAACGGCAGTTGATACTTGAGGAGCTGGATAAATAGCGAATTCTAATTTAGATTTCTTTCCATAGTCGACAGAAAGTCGTTCCATAAGAAGAGAAGTAAATCCAGAGCCAGTGCCTCCTCCGAAGGAGTGAAAGATTAAAAATCCTTGAAGTCCAGTACATTGGTCAGCAAGTTTACGAATTCGATCGAGTACTAGGTCAACTATTTCTTTTCCAATTGTGTAATGACCTCGAGCATAATTATTCGCAGCGTCCTCTTTGCCAGTGATTAGTTGTTCAGGATGAAATAGTTGCCGGTAAGTTCCAGTACGGACTTCATCTAAATAAAAATTAAGAATTAACTAATGTTCATTTATTTAGTTAAAATTTAATAATAAACATTTGGAAAATAAATATTAATGATTCTTTTGTGCACGGTATTGTCTTTTCAACAATACTATTTGCATTTCAAAAAAATTTAATATAGTTTTTACATCCATTGTAACCTTGAAATTTATTACGCTCAGTTAACCATATAGTGAGTCAAGTTAAATCTCAGTTTAAAAAATAAAAATTTTAGTAGAGAACTTAAAACATTCTTTCAAGACTTGTTTATCTAGTACATAAAATAATAAAGTTATCAGTGTAAAAATACATATAATAATGAAAACTGTAGCATTAAATTTATTTTATCAAATGTTTTTTCATCACCAAATTCATTTATGGCGTTATATACTGCCGGCTAAAGTTAAACTTACCCACGACGGTTGGTTCCAAGTCAACAAATACAGCTCTTGGAACATGTTTCCCTGCTCCAGTTTCACTAAAAAAGGTGTTGAAACTGTCGTCTCCACCTCCTAGCAATTTATCTGATGGCATTTGGCCATCAGGTTGGATTCCATGTTCTAAACAATAGAGTTCCCAGCAAGCATTACCAATCTGGACTCCAGCTTGACCAACGTGGACTGAGATACATTCACGCTAGAAATAAAATTTTATTACAGTTTCTGATCTATAAAAATGAGTAAAAATGAGGACAAAATGAAAGATTTATAGTTGAAAGATATATTAAAGTCATAAACAGTGCAGTTATTACCATCACAGATTTATGGTACGATAATTAAAAAAGTACTTATTTCAAACAAAAAGTAGAAGGGTTTTATTAATTTAAAGAATTAATTTATAAAACTTACCATCTTGAATAGATTATCGTTTTTTAATCACAGGTACAAAATGTAAATTCTTAATGGAAAATTGAATTCCTCAAAAAAGCAAAAGATTACGTTAAGATGAAGCAGGCAATGAAGCTCCTCGAAACGTTCTCAGCGTTCTGATGTAGCCAGACATGATGGCAATACTTTATAGCCTCGGTTTCCCCACTTTCCTTTCTTCTATCGATCTCATTCTTATTAGTAAAAACTGCTGTTTGATTTAAGTGCTCACATCACGCTTTTAAAATTGACAAATTGAATTAAGCACGAACATTTCTGCTGAATTTCTTAATTTATTGAAAAGATAAAAAACAAATAATACCACATTCCCGTTCTATTAATAACTAGAGGTTTTATTTAATAAAAAGATATAATTGAATTTTATTTAACATATATCACACAAATTTAGAATCCTTATAACACCTAGAATACCTTTAGAAAATGAAATAAACGAATATCCTTCTTATTTCCGCTGCGTCGAGACAGTATCTAAAAATAGTAAAAAGGCGTGTGCATAATTTGCGTCCAACGAACCTTTTATCTCAGTGAAAATATATTCTTCATAAAGAATTCTTATTTAGAATAATACTTTATTTATTAAATATATTATTTACTATTCATAATTTGCTTAACTTGTAAAAATTGTTTGAATATTCCAATTTCTAGAGGATTCTTAGCACGTTCCTTAACGCATCTTTACAGTTAAACCAGCACTTTGATACGCTTCATGAAGACTCAGGCCAACAACCTAAGAAGTGAATGCCCTACGGACATTTTAACCTTGAAAAATATAAAATACTACAATAATTCATTTCTTTTGGTGAAAATAAATACTATTATTACTAATAAATATATAACTACATGGTTTACTGTCATTGAAATGACGTCAGACATTCTCAGTGAGTACCATTTACGGCGATGAAGTCAGACTCGCACCAACTGTGTTTTTTTTGCTCCACAGAAACCCACGCATGGCGAAACATGAAGTTTATGTATGTACTAAGACTTTAAAATCTACAATGAGACTTCCAGACAGCTACTAATCATGATAAAAGACTCACGACGACAATTAGACTATTATTTATCATTAACATTCTCATTTCTCTTGATAATTTTCTCTTTAAATTGATGAAAGATAATTTGTTACTAAAATGAACGTGTTTTTTTAAATACTTAAATACATTACGGGTACGTTCATGCTGTTTTTATATTACTTTCAATTGATCGCGAAATTTGGGACCAGCAAACGAGTCCTGCGGATGCAGTGGTTGCCATATATGGTTGGAGAAACCGTGACGACATCCAGGAGGAGAGTAGGCCGTTCAGTTTTACGCGTATTGGAGTCCTCGCCCACTGGGAATCATGATTCAATGACGCCGGAGAGTGTAGAGTAAATGAATGTGTACGGTGGAGAATAAGTACGGTATAAATTCATGTCCGACAACACTAAACATTCATTCCTGGTCTTTGTAGGTCAAAATAAAATGATGGATTGAAGAAACCTCGTTGCTGATGAATCATTTGTACGAAATAAATATTTATCTGAAAAAATTTAAATTTAATTTGAATTAATAAATTATTAATAACTTCAAAATATTGTTCTTATAATATATTACAAGAACGATTGATATAAATACAATTTAATAACCATCAGATTAAATCATCAGATAATTTTAATTTGGATTAGTTTTTAAAAATATCAGTAATTATTAGAGTAAGTTCCTAGATTGAAATTAAAATTGGTGATCTGGATCAGTTTATTGAGTTAAAAATCTTTTTTTGATATTTTTTTTATCTAACAAAGAGAATTTTTAAGAATCGGTTACGCTGTAATTACTTATGGGAGTTGGAGCATGACGGAAGAGATAAAATTCTTTGACTATCATAAACTATTGAGTTATTGACGTCATGCTACAAAATATCAATAATATATTTTTAACTTCATTTTAATTGAAAATATTTCCTTTTAATAATTGTATGATACAATTTATCAACAATCATGTTAATATACTTCTCATACCTCCAGTACCAGTATTTATCGAATCCTATGCTGGTATACATTCTTATAGGAGTCCAATTAGAATTATGTTCCAAAATAAAAATTTCTGGCACTAGATCAAATTGAGATATTTTATCTGAATTATGATAAAAAAAAAATACAAATTTGTTGAGGGGATAAAACTATGAGGGTAAAAGATAAAAAAAAAGTCTCTACCGTGACAATGTTTACAACATTGCCGTGACCAGGATTCGAACCTGGGTTACTACGGCCACAACGTAGGGTCCTAACCACTAGACGATCACGGCTACAAGAGACATATAGCTGTTGCTTTCAAAAAACTCACCATGCTAAAAATGGAAATAAAAAGAAAACTTCCAAATTTACGTACATGGAGATTCTCATGACTATTGAGTTAAATTTAATTGTTGGATTGACGTTTATTTTCATTTTGCAATGAATTATCAGTGGAAACTTTACCTAAATAGATCGGAAAATGCTGTATTATTGAAAAGCTTACATTAAATATTTAATACATAATGAAACATAGATGTTTACCTTGAAGATGGCATGCTTTTATAAATTAACATGGTATAACAATTATTGCAGAATATTCTCCTCTTTAGTACAAATCGTGTAATTAATTCAAGAATTAGATTATAGAATAATCAAATGATTTATTTTGTAAATGTATCGAATAATTGTATTAGTTTATTGTTTATCACAATTAATTGATTATTGCTAGGTAACTGATGTAATCATGAACATCATTATTATTATTATTAATTAAGATTATAAATCAACAAAACATCAAATTTGGTAGGTACTGTTATTATGGATTATTAATACAATAAAAACATTTACACTACAAAATAATGAACCTAAATTATACTATTTTATTAAGCAGTAATAACTGATGAAATTGAATATATCTTTCTTACTAATCATGAGACCATATAAAAATTTTTATTCAGCTGTGTATATTGATATGAATAAATATTCCCACGTGACTTCTATGTAGACAAATCAATATTTGTGAGATAACATGATAAAAAATAGACATCATCTGATTGTTGCTGCGTGAAGCAATTGATTGACAAAAATACGCTCTCTGTAAGTCAATGGACGAAGCTTCGAAAAAGTTCTATTTTAACAACAGTCGCATTTGCCGTCGGTACATCAGAATGTATACAACAGTCGATAATATCAACAAAAAAAAAATTGATCGGTAACGAATAAATAAAAAATACTATATTTCGTTACTACCTGACAGATGTCTCGTCGATGATAAAAATATACAAATTTTATTTGAATTTAAATAAAAAAGCAAATAATGTAATTAAATATCTAATAAAGCTGGAGTGAATTTGAATAGTTGTTTATTATAAAGATCTTTGAGTCATGATAATTTGAGTACACAGAAAAATACAGAAACAATCAACTTTCTTCATGCATATGAGTAGAATAATGATTTTAATCTCATTTCGAATTCGTTAATAAGTATAATTATCACTTCATTTTACATTTGTAATGCATGAGAAGGTTTGAAGTAATATTATTTATATACAAGAGATATAAAAAAAATATTCTTTTATAATAACGTGACTGAATTCAAGAAGTTACCGTTACTCAGATGCGCCAAAAGATTTCTTCAATTGTATCGTGGGCGGATGTCATGCATTTTTGGATGAAATTAGTGAATTATGATACCTCAGGAAGTGGAATACCATGCGAACAAATTGAGGAAGGAGGCCCTTTTCGCTATACAATATGAAATAAGCATAAATATTCATGCATCCTGGTCCCAGTGGATTGATGAATGTCATGAAAATTAGTCTCCTCGTGATGGAGTAGGACCACCTCCACTGTTTTCAGATCGTGCACAGCAAGAGCCCCGGAAATGTAATGCGCATTTACTGTGAAACGGTACACTTAACTTGCGCTCGTCGGTGTGCACAATTTTTACGGGGTCACGGCGGTGCATCGAGATATTTTTGCTGATCGACATAGATATGCTACCATCATGTATACTTTATTCATCTCTCTTGAAATCCTCCCTCAAACAAACGACCGATCGTAATCGAACGAAAAAAAAATCTCGTTGCACTGCACATGCAATATCCATAAATTAACTGTAATTATTTTAGTATGCATCGTCCACATTGCTCATCTGAAATGTTAATTTGGGGAACGCGGATATGTTTAGTTCATCAAACTGATCGTAGGTGTGGTCTATAAGTTTAGGCACCGTTAGGTTTAATAATGCCCAACATAATATTCAATCGGCTTTGTGGCTATTTTTTAAGCAGGATCAAAATTTAAATATTGTGAATTCATCACAAATATGCTCGTTCAATTTTATCTTGAAACAAGTTTTACCAATAGATCAACTTGATACACTTCTGCACTCTCGGATTGTTTTTAAAATATTTACTACTATTCTATATGAATATTTCAAACCATTTTCCAATACAAATAAAAAACTCCCATCGATATTCAAGCTTTTATGTTTTAATAATGATTAATAAAAAAAAAATTCATCATAACAAGAAGTGAATAATAATTGCTCTTAGTTATTATGTAATGTCCTACGAGTATTCAAGAGTTTTTTACAACAATGTAATTAAAAAAAATGGCAATTACCGATACAATGTCAAGTACTTGTGTTTTTACATGAGCATATTAATTCAATGAATTTCTTGGTAACATTGAGAGAAGTAGTAAAGGTCTCACGACTTCCGCAAGTAATTCGAGGGTCTCTTTAATTGAGAAAGGCACATTCAACTCATAACAATTCCCATTTCTTCATGGCAATTTCTAGCTCTTGAAAATATACTGAGGACGTAAAAAATTGGCCAAATTCACTAGTGAACGTTGAGAGGAACCATAGAAAGTCAAAAATATAAAATTGTGTTGTTAACAACACAATATAATGGTAATCCTAGCATTTATTTTCATAAATTCATTTATTTGTTTTTATTTTATTTTTCACCACAACAATATGATAATCTTGCAGTCTCCAGTCTCATTTTGTTTACTCGGATCAAATATAATGTGAAAAAAAATATGTAGATTCATCTCATCACCTTGCTTTTCATTATGAATGGAATTACACCGAGACATCGTGTAATTTTAATTGTATTCT